TGTACCTGAAAAATACAGGAGAAGATGCCTTATCCTGTGCATACTGTGCAGCTTAAATTGGGCAGTATCCAGTAATAATCCTATAGCTCCCAACTATCCCTGATTTGAAGGGACTGTCCCTCTTTTGCGACAAAGTCCATCCGTCCTTCTTTAATCCTCATGTGTCCCTCCCTCATTTTGGTCTGATGCATATACCTGTATAAAAAAAATTCTCTATTTATCTATCAAAAAAATGTTTTAAAGTGCTAAACCTTTCATCCAATTTTTAAATTGTTGCATTTGAAATATCAAAAGCCAGTATAAAGGAATATTAGTGGTGAAAAAAGCACTTGTAGACAATTATTTTTTGTGTATTTATTATCCATGTAATAGGAGTGTGTTAGGGGGGCATGTCCTTTGCCTACATACTTTTTGCCCTCTTTCCTATCTAAAAAAGTTGTGATTTATGCAATCCTCCTGAGGGCACTGGGGTGAAAATCATGTAGCTCTCTCAGATACAGCACAAGGGATGCATAGGAGCATCAAACAAGTCAAAAAAGAGAGAGTGCAACAATATAGCACAATAGAAACAAGTATGAATGAATAAAACAGCACATTCTACAGATGTGCTCACTAGAAAAATTTGTAAATCATTTTGTTTCATCATAATTGTTATGTTAGAATGATTTGTTATTGCGGGAGAGTACCGTATTTTTCGGCGTATAAGACAACTGGGCGTATAAGACGACCCCCTACTTTTCCTGTTAAAATATAGGGTTTGAGCTATACTCGCCGTATAAGACTACCCCTCTTCCAATGCACACCAAATAAAAAAACATCAGATTTGATTTCAATATGGTATGCTATTTCAGTATGGTATTCCAATGATGGGGTGCTATTCCTCCCACTGACACCAATGATGAGGCACTACTCCTCCCACTGACACCAATGATGGGGCACTATTTCATCCACTGACACCAATGATGGGGCACTATTCCTCCCACTGATACCAATGATGGGGCACTATTCCTCCCACTGATACCAATGATGGGCACTATTCCTCCCACTGATACCAATGATGGGGCACTATTCCTCCTACTGACACTAATGATGGGACACTATTCCTCCCACTGACACCAATGATGAGGCACTACTCCTCCCACTGACACCAATGATGGGACACTATTCCTCCCACTGATACCAATGATGGGACACTATTCCTCCCACTGATACCAATGATGGTGCCCCATCATTAGTGTCAGTGTGTGAGGAATAGTGCCCCATCATTAGTCAGTGGGAGGAATAGTGCCCCATCATTAGTCAGTGGGAGGAATAGTGCCCCATCATTGGTGTCAGTGGGAGGAATAGTGTCCCATCATTAGTGTCAGTGGGAGGAATAGTGTCCCATCATTGGTGTCAGTGGGAGGAATAGTGCTCCATCATTGGTGTCAGTGGGAGGAATAGTGGCCCATCATTGGTATCGGTGGGAGGAATAGCACCCCATCATTGGTGTCAGTGGGAGAAATAGCACCCCATCATTGGTGTTAGTGGGAGGAATAGCACCCCATCATTGGTATCAGTGGCAGGAATTGCGCCCCATCATTGGTGTCAGTGGCAGGAATTGCGCCCCATCATTGGTGTCAGTGGGAATAGTGCCCCATCATTGGTATCAGTGGCAGGAATTGCGCCCCATCATTGGTGTCAGTGGGAGGAATTGCGCCCCATCATTGGTGTCAGTGGGAATAGCGCCCCATCATTGGTATCAGTGGCAGGAATTGCGCCCCATCATTGGTGTCAGTGGGAGGAATTGCGCCCCATCATTGGTGTCAGTGGGAGGAATTGCGCCCCATCATTGGTATCAGTGGGGAGAATAGTGCCCTATCGTTGGTGTCAGTGGGGAGGAGGAACAGTGCCTCATCGTTGGTGTCAGTGGGGGAGGAACAGTGCCTCATCGTTGGTGTCAGTGGGGGAGAGGAGCGGCTGCTCCTTCTTCCAGTGCGGCCACTCGATTTTCGCGGGGCCGCTCGGCTCCGCCTCCTCGACAGTGATTGGTCGCCTGTGTGCCTTTACAGTGCTGGCGCCCAATCACCGGTGAGAAGGCAGAGCCGAGCGGCCGCGTGACCATCGAGCGGCCCGAACTGTAAGAAGAAGCAGCCGCGCTTCCTGGACCGGATCGTCGTGGGACCGGAGCCACGTAAGGTACAGCAGCCCCTCTGCCCACCCCTGTACTTGGCGTCCGTCGGAGGAGGAGGGGGGGCCCCTCGAAAAAGTGCCGCCCTGACACCCGGCTCGCACCGGCGTATAAGACGACCCCCGACTTTTCAGAAGATTTTCAGGGGTTGAAAAGTCTTCTTATACGCCAGAAAGTACATATTTGTTGTTCCAAATAGATTTATATTTTTTAAAGTTCAGTTATTCTTTCAGAAGAATTGTTATTTCATAAGATTGGCTATATTCGTTTTACCTAATTGATTATTATGTATTCATTCGTTATGTTATTAAGTTGAATTAATTTTCCCATTCCCAACTGACTTTGTTTGTTGGGCTGCGCTCATACAAATTAAAGTATTACTAAACCCAGGACCCTGCATTCACTATATCTGGTCTCCCACAGTATTCAGAACATGGAAGTGCTATTATTTTAGTAAACATTAACTAATAAATACCTTTTCTCATCAGCAGTTAGAGCAGTCTTGTGACTTGAGCTGAGCAATGGTTAAAGCTTGTAGGATGAGTTTTCTTTCTGTTCTAGAAGGATGCACTGTGCTGATCACATGCACTCTCCCAAGAAAAAAAACCTCTGTAGCAATACACACTGAACTGAGCATGTGCAGAAGGGTTACTGGTTCAGTCTGTCTTAACAGCGTGGACATTTAAACAAGAGGAGGGGCAAATAAGTCAGGATCAAACAGCCTTTTTACACAATGTAGAGGAGTAACCCCTTAGGTTCCACAGTGAATATAACAAGCATGCTTTACTGCATACAGTGCATCCAGAAAGTATTCACAGTGCTTAACATTTGCAAAATTGTTATTTTACAGCCTTATTCCAATATGGATTAAATTTATTTTTTCCTTAACATTCTACAAACAATACCCCATAATGACAATGTGAAAGAAGTTCATTTTGAAATCTTTGCAATTTATTAAAAATAAAAAACGAAAAAAAAAAAACACATGTACAGAAGTATTCACAGCCTTTGGTCAATGCTTTGTTGAAGCACCTTTAGCACTAATTGCAGCCTCAAGTCGTTTTGAGTATGATGCTACAAGCTTGGCACACCTATTTTTGGGCAATTTCTCCCATTCTTCTTTGCAGTACCTCTCAAGCTCCATCAGGTTGGATGGGGAGCATTGATGCTCAGCCATTTTTAGAACTCTCCAGAGATGTTCAATCGGGTTCAAGACTGGGCTGTGGCTATGGGCCACTCCAGGACATTCACAGAGTTGTCCCATAGCCACTCCTTTGTTAAGTGGGCTGTACGCTTAGGGTCGTTGTCCTGTTGAAAGATGAACCGTCGCCCGAGTCTAAGGTCCAGAGCGCTCTGGAACAGGTTTTCATCAAGGATGTCTCTGTACATTGCTGCATTCATCTTTCCTTTGATCCTTACTAGTCTCCCAGTTCCTGCCACTGAAAAACATCCCCAGAGCATGATGCTGCTACCACCATGCTTCACTGTAGGGATGGTATTGTCCAGGTGGTGAGCGGTGCCTGGTTTCCTCCAAACATGACGCTTGGCATTCAGGCCAAAGAGTTCAATCTTTGTTTCATCAGACCAAAGAGTTTTGTTTCTCATGGTCTGAGAGTCCCTCAGGTGCCTTTTGGCAAACTCCAGGCAGGCTGCCATTTGTCTTTTACTGAGGAGTGGCTTCCGTCTGGCATACAGGCCTGATTGGTGGAGTGCTGCACAGATGGTTGTTCTTCTGGAAGGTTCTCCTCTCCCCACAGAGAAATGCTGGAGCTCTTTCAGAGTGACTATCGGGTGCTTGGTTACCTCCCTGGCTAAGGCTCTTCTCCCCAATCGCTCATTTTGGCCGGGCAGCCCAATATAGGAAGATTCCTGGTGATTCCAAACTTCTCCCATTTACAGATGATGGAGGTCACTATGCTCATTGGGACCTTCAATGCTGCAGACATTTTTCTGTACCCTGGCCAACTGTCACAACGGGGTCTTGGGAGAGTACAGGGGCTGCTTAGTTAGTAACATGTTACATTTTGAATTGGTTGAAATGTGTTACTATTGTGATCACGCAAATTTTGTCCAAATTTCAATTTGTAACAAAATAAATCGCACATGTCTAGCACAATCTATGCAATCACATATGACCAGGTAATGGGGCACTGGGTACAGAGCTGAGCATTTTATTCATTTATATTAACCACTTGCCTACAGAGCACTTATACCCACTTCCTGCCCAGGCCAATTGCCAGCTTTCAGTGCGGTCACACTTTGAATGACAATTGCGCGGTCATGCAACACTGTACCCATATGACATTTTTATCATTTTTTTGTGACAGATAGAGCTTTATTTTGGTAGTATTTAATCACCTCTGGATTTTTTATTTTTTCTTAAACAAACCAAAAACCACTGAAAATTTTGAAAAAAAAAAAAACTTTTTTTTCTTAGTTTTTGTTATAAAATTTTGTAAATAAGTGATTTTTCTCCTTCACTAATGTGCGCTATTGAGGCTGCAGTGATGGGCACTGATAGGCTGCACTGATGGACACTGATAGGTGACACTGATGGGCACTGATGAGGAGGCACTGATAGGTGGCACTGATGGGCATTGACAGGCATCACTGATGGGCACTGAAAGGCAGCACTCATATATGGCACTGATATGTGGCACTGATAGGTGGCACTGATAGGCACTGACTGGCACTGATAGGCAGCACTGACTGGCACTGTTGGGTGGCACTGACTGGCACTGTTAGGCAGCACTGATAGGCAGCATTGGCGGGCACTGATGCACACTGATAGGCAGCACTGACTGGCACTGATAAGTGGCACTGATTGGCAGCACTGATAGGTGGCACTTACTGGCATTGATGGGTGACACTGAAAGGCAGCTCAGGTGGGCACTGATATGTGGCATTGATGTGCACTGGTAGGCACTGATATATGGCATTGATGTGGCAATGATGGGCACTGGCAGGTGACATGGATGAGCACTGACAGCTGGCACTGATGGGCACTGACAGGTGGCATTGCTGGGGCTACAGAGATCATCAGGGCACACTGATCATCAGTGCCCTGATGAACAGTGCACATGTCCCCTCTGAGGGATGCCGATTACCGGCTCTGCTCTGCTCTCCAGCTGTCAGCGTGACAGCTCGTGAGGAGAGAAATGCCGATAACCAGCATTTCCCTATTTACATGTGATCAGCTTTGATTGGACACAGCTGATCTCATGACCAAGCCGACATCTTCGGCTCTCTCCATTGATCGGTGATCCACTGTGTCCCTCGCACCACCGATGGCTGCGCTGTGCCCTCCCGGAGCTGCGCATGTGCGGTTAGAATGGGACAACGTCATATGATGTCCTCCCAGAATGAGAGAACCGCCTTGCGCCCCTCATTGTACTATATGGTAGGCGGGAGGGTGGTTAAAAATAGTTTTTATTGCACCATACTGTTGCACTTTCTCTTCTTTTTTGTATTGTTTAATATCCATTTTTACACGTCTAAAAGAATTAGATTGAAAAGCACTAGTTCCTCAGCTTCTCAATACTTTCTAAAACAAGCATGCAGCCAGTGAAGTCAGAGGAAAGTCAGAGCTCCTGAAATTCATGCTTCCCTAGAGTTAGTGGCTTTGAAAGCATTGAAGCTGTTGATTGAGTTTAACAGCCAGGAAACTAACTTATTCAAAATGAGGTTTCAAAAATCTTAGTCTGCATATACTGTATCTTTCAATGCATGTTTCCTTTAAAAGAACTATTTCACTTAATTAAAAAATATAGGCAGCTGCACCCTGTAAATGGAAGAGGATGCATGGTGCAGAGCTAGCAGTACCACTGGTATCTAATATACACTATATTGCCAAAAGTATTGGAACACCCCTCCAAATCATTGGATTCAGGTGTTCCAATCACCTCCATGGCCACAGGTGTATAAAATCAAGCACCTAGGCATGCAGACTGCTTCTACAAACGTTTGTGAAAGAATGGGTCGCTCTCAGGAGCTCAGCGAATTCAAGCGTGGTACCATGATAGCTTGCCACCTATCCATTAAATTTCTTTGCTTCTAAATATTCCACGGTCAACTGTTAGTGGTATTATAACAAAGTGGAAGCAACTGGAAACAACAGAGCAGGGTCAGCAAATGCTGAAGTTTACAGTGTGCAGAAGTTGCCAACTGTCTGCAGAGTCAATAGCTAAAGACCTTCAAACTTCATGTGGCTTTCAGAATAGTACAACAGTGTGTAGAAAGCTTCATGGAATGGGTTTCCATGGCTGATCAGCTGCATTCAAGCCTTACATCACCAAGTGCAAAGTAAAGCGTCAGATGCAGTGGCGTATACCACGCCGCCACTGGACTCAAGAGCAGTGGAGACGTGTTTTCTGGAGTGAAGAATCATGCTTCTCTGACTGGCAACCTGATGGACATGTCTGGGTTTGGCAGTTGCCAGCAGAACTGTACTTGCCTGACTGCATTGTGCCATGTGTAAAGTTTGATGGAGGGGGGGCTATGGTGTGGGTTTGTTTTTCAGGGGTTGGGCTTGGCTCCTTAGTTCCAGTAAAGGGAACGCCTTCAGATGTCAGCATATCAAGACATTTTGGACAATTTCATGCTCCCAACTTTGTGGGAACAGTTTGGGGATGGTCCCTTCCTGTTCCAACATGACCATGCACAATGCAAGGTCCATAAAGACATGAATAAGCGATTTGGGATGGACGAACTTTACTGACCTCAACCCGATAGAATTAGAGACTGCGAGCCAGGCCTTCTCGTCCGAGATCAGTGCCTAACCTCACAAATGTGCTACTGGAAAATGGTCAAACATTCCTATAGACACACTCCTAAACCTTGTGGACAGCCCTCCCAGAAGAGTTGAAGCTGTTATAGCTGCAAAAGGTGGGCCAACTCAATACTGAACCCTATGGACTAAGACTGGGATGCCATTAAAGTTCATATGCAGGCATTCCAATACTTTTGGCAATATAGTGTATCTGTGTTTGTCAGATAGTGTTCCACACTGGTCCTTCCACTAACTGCTACATTATTAAAGGACCCAGTGGACAACAGAAAGAACTACTTTGCCCAGAGGGGGGGGGGCACACTATCTGGCCCTTTGAGAAGTATTCGATAACAGTGACTTTTCTATTACAGGGTGCAGCCATGTGAACGTTTTAGAAAGCAGCAGGGTCACTTTAATTTTGTATTTGAATACATGCTGATATTACATTGTTTCCTCTAATTGTACAATGCATACTTATTAGTTACTCTCAGGTAATGTATAGCAGAGATCTTGGGCACCCCATATGCCCCGCAAGCACGCTAGAAAAGAAAGGAACTCATGGTCCATAAAGAGAAAGCTTCATATCAAAGTTTGCATTTTGTATACTGTAGATACTTCCTTTCTCTTAATCTACACTGATTTGTACTCTTTGAACCCATTATACTGTTATTAATGAATAGGGCAGCAGCTGATTTTTACACTGAATAATTGTAGTTTTAGAAAAATGAGCAGGTTTTTCTAAAGTTTTCCCAAGTCTGATGGATTGCTACTAACAAATGAAGCTTAGGAACAAAACACATTAAAAAGGAATGTTTAAAGATGTTCAAGCTGCAGGCATGCAAGAGGAATATAAGATTATCTTTGAATTTTTTCATCATCTAGAACAGTGATATAATATTACTTTTGTGCCAGATAAAATAATTCAAAGAAAAGTGTCAGACTGGCTGGTCTCATTTTCGACCCATTAGAAATGTACTCTTACCATATATGTAGTGCTGCAGGTGGTGTTTTATCCAGTTATGAATTCTATTCAGAAATCATATAATTGACTTCTTGCTTTACTGATTGCACCCTTTCAAATAAAAAATGAAGGGCTGTACGTTCCCTATTATCCTATCTAGCCGGGAGGTACAGCAACACATTCCTCTGAAATGCATTAAAGTTCGTTCTTGAAGTAAATGGCTTAATTCCCAATTTCTTCATTTCCGTTGCTAATCCAACAGCTTCAATTAATTCCTGTACAAAACCTAAATAAAACTGAGGAGAGAGTCGATATACAATTTAGAATATGATTATTTAGCTTCTATAAAAAAAAGTGTAAGGTGCCGTCTTCACCTTCTGAAAATGCTGGTTGCATCGCTGGCATACTGATCCTCTTGCCTTATTAGGTCTCATGCACACTGGACATCCTGAAAAATGCCTGGCTTTTTTTGTCTCTAAATGTACCTCCATGTTAGTTGATATGTCCATGCACACACAGGAATTTAGAGGCAGGGACTTTTAGAGGGAGAGAAAAAAAACAGCACATCTAGGAAACCATGTATAAACAGAAAAAAAGAGAGAAAAGCACCACTACCTTTGTTGAAGGGCGTCACACCCCAAAATGCATACCCATGCACATCAACATCACACATGACATCATCACGGCCATTTTGTGGGCCTGCAACACTTCCCTGCTGTCCACAGTGGTTCTCATCATGTGATATACAGACTCAGTCTGCTGCTTCTGCTGGCTCTTTCTGGTGTTCCTTTGGTCAGCTTCCTGGTTCCTTGTGCCTTACATCACATCTGTGGCGAGGGGCTTAACCTCTTGGCGCCGGCCGAATGCAAATGTGCTGCCTCCCGAGGTCTGGGCCTATAAGCTGAGTGGCTGCACATTTACGTTCTATTAAAAAAAAAATGTGCTGAGAGCGCACGCCCTGCGCGTTCCCAGCACACACGTTCAGTACTCACGGAAAGGTCCCGATCTCTTTTGATCGGGACCTTTGCCGATCATGTGACTGCCGTGACAGTGAATCATGGCAGTCACATGACCCTAAAACCCCGCCCCGCCTACCGACTTTTGGAACCCTTAAAGGGTCGGGAGGTGACGGTGCAAAGGGGTTAATCACCATTGACCACTTGGAAGGTCGCCACCTGCTGGAGACTTATTGATACGCCTTTTAAAGTCTTTTAAATGTGAGTGCATGTTTATTGTTTTTCATTTCACCAATATGTTTTAATAAATGCTACACTTAGGTAGTGGCACTTTTATCTCCTTTCTTCTGCTTATACATGGTTTGCTCTTGGAAGCCTCCCCAGATCCTGCTTGGAAGAGAGACTGCTGATGCTGCCTTAATGTGAACTTTATGCCGTTGTATTTTTTTTTAAACTTTTCTCAAGGACTAAAAAGACTACTTTATTCTTTTATCATTCCTTGCCTATTGAGATTTTTTTTTGTCTTGGCAGTTGCTCCAGTGCCCTCCTTTTTTGCATCTGTGTATGTTTAGGGTGCTAATGACCTTTACAAATTTATTTTTAGCATATCCAGGAGCTGCTGCATTTTGGCAGAAAAAATGCTTGACATGCGTAAACGCTTGTTCACATGTCTAAACTTGCATTAACGCTAGGCACGCTTAGCTCTTATTATTCTGGCCAATTAAATTAACACCCAAGCATCTGACATGTCTAAACAAGCCTTAACGTGTTACACATATTTACAAGAGTCAAGCATGTTTTCTGCCAAAACACCGCTGCCAGGAAGAAAGGTGTTTAGTAGGCATAGCAATAACATCCCATAAGCATGAGGTCTTAAAGTGTTACTAAATCCACAACAGTAAAATCAGTCTGTATATGCAGTAAAGCATGCTTGTTATACTCACTGTGGAACCTAAGGGGTTAGTCCTCTGAATTGTGTAAAAAGGCTGTTGGATCCTGTTTTCTCTGCTCCTCCTCTTGTTCAAATGTCTACATCTTATCTCTTGATAAGACAGACTGAACACGTATGGGGTTTTGCATCCTCCTAGAGCAGAAAGAAAATTCCTCCTACAAGCTGTAACCAGTTTTCTGCTGGACACTGATAGAAGTCACAAGACCGCTCTAACTGCAGATGAGAAAAGATATTTAGCAGTTTATATTTAGTTAAATAATTGCATTTCCATGTTCTGTGTATTGTGGGAGACCAGATAAAGTGAATGCAGGGTCCTGGGTTTAGTAACACTTTATTATTGCAAGTTACCAAATAGAAAGCCTTGCCTTTCCCAATCTGAATACTTGTGCTGGATCAATGGTTCAAAAAATGTTGATGCCAGAGTGGTGGGTTTACTGAAAAAGTAGATACTTGTCAAATAAGTTAGTAAAGATGAAACTATGTTTACTATCATTATTCGCTGTACAGTTCATTCCTTAGTTTTACTCAATGCCATGACCTGCATTATGCAGAACATTCATGAAATTCAGATCATGGTATTGAAGCTGTACTATTTTTGTGGAGTTCCCTCTGCTTAGTGCAGCTGAGAGATCTCCAGAATTGGAGGAGAGCCACTGATGTGACTCTTACAGGTCACGTACTGTAGCTGGGCTATGTTTTTCACTCTTTCACAAATTTTATTTCAATTTAACCCCTTCGTGCCGGCGCCTCCCGGCCCTTTAAGGATTTCAGAA